GTGTTGGATGCACTTGATATGCAGGCAACATGTTTCCACATTCACCACTGTTTATATACAAGACCGATTTAACCTGAGCAAAGGGACCAAGAGATTTCCCCTTGCCGTGTCTTATGGTTGGAAAACACGTACAAAGAAAACACTCATTGCCTCTCTGGACAAATGAAAGAGGCAATGAGTTTGATTAACTTCTACAGTGTGCAGATCATACATCTCTCTGGGGGCCATCAAATAAATGAGCCATCATGCTGACAGTTGAGCCTTCTCTCTAAATTTTTTCATTCCTAGCATCGCCCCTCCCCCTCCCAGGAGGGCTGAAATTCTCTAGCTGAAGTGGCACAAGTTTATTTAGTAGCTCCTTACAGTATTTTTATTTTATAGTTGCCAAGAAAACCTCTCTCACTGACTCTCCTTGCCAAAATGCTTCCTGCGTGATACCTGGCTGTGTTTGGCATGCACACAGATGCCCTCTGCGAGGGGAAGCAGGGAGGCAGAATGGAGGGCTTCCGATAAAGACACCAAGGAGATGACAGACCCTTGGTGGCTAGGGGTCTCGTGACCATTGGGCCTAGCTCCAACAACACAGAAAAGATGCTGGGGCAAAAGAGACACCTGCGGTTGATAGGCTAGGGGGGGATAAGGTGGTCAACATACTAAATTCTGCTCGGCTCCTCAGGCTTCCCCAGTGCAGAGAGGTGGGTGCAGCTGACCCATGGGAAATTACTTTCCAGGGCACCTTTGCTTCCCAGCCATAGAAATGCAACAAAGAAATGGATCAGAGAGTCACAGGGATCCTGAGAGCCTGCAAACTAGGGACAGGATAGTCGTGGAGGAGCCCTCTGCCTGCAAAGAGGACGCGTTAAGGAAGGTAAAGGAAGGAAAGATTTCGCAAGAGGAAGAATCAGAACACGGTAGCCTCTTAACCAATGTGATCTCAATGATAATTGGGGCAGCTGTGGAGTGGGGATGGGCAGGGCCAGATGGATCCTACGAGGCTTATGGTGGACACGTGGCACCGATACCAACAAACAGGTTGACAGAATGAAACTCTGTTAAACGTTAGAGGGCACGCAGTGCTAGGTAAGTGTTGGCCACTGTTGTCACCACTACTGTCGCCAGTAAGTGGATAAATGTTGTGGCTGTCACCCTTGAAAGATCAGCCAGACAACTGAGGCATCAGTGCGAATACACTAGCAAGTGAAGGGACGATGAGACATCTTAGCCCGTCTAGCTGTGGCTGGTTCCCTCTATGGAAACCCAGGGCTCTTCAGACTTGGGGGTACTAGACTCTGCCAGCGGTGAGGCCAGTTCCCTGAACACATTTTGTTGAGAGAAAACAGCATGTGAGAGGGGACGTGGATACCGCGGGGTGGGGGCAAGTGGAGGGAGGCGGGGTGATGAGGAACGCTTTACAACAGGAAGGAGTGCAGTTTATAGCACCGACCTCAGGAAGGGATATTCAGGCTGCTTTTGGCAACTGGCTAAACACAAACCTTTGCCAGCATTAGTAATGCCTTACGCAATATCAAAGGGGAGGGGAGACAGACTTCTGACTTGAACCAGAACTTTTGGCCACATCAGCAGGTCTCATTCGGTTACCTGCTGTCTCCATCAGAGATTAAACCTGAGCCATTTAAACGGAAGTCTCAAAAACCCAAGAAGGCACCTACGGTTTCAGAACCACTCCCAGGCCCTTGGAATTAAATGCGAACCTCACATGTTAGTTCTGGGTTATAGATGGTATCACTTTGTTCTCTGTGTTTTGCATAAAGCCTTGTTTTCTCCAAAGTGATTACAGCCTCCAAGGGTAGGCCTGGAATATTTCTTAAGTCATTTCCAGCGTACTGATCACAGGCTAGACATATGACAGCAACACACATCTCAGTCCCTTTCCAGGGATTTACAGATCTCCTCCTAATGCTGGGCATATCACAGCAAAGTGTGCAGAAGACATCAAATTTACCCCTAAGAAGTTTCCTTTTGAATTTTTTTTCTTTTTTTTTTTTTCAACGTTTATTTATTTTTGGGACAGAGAGAGACAGAGCATGAACGGGGGAGGGGCAGAGAGAGAGGGAGACACAGAATTGGAAACAGGCTCCAGGCTCTGAGCCATCAGCCCAGAGCCTGACGCGGGGCTCGAACTCCCGGACTGCGAGATCGGGACCTGGCTGAAGTCGGACGCTTAACCGACTGCGCCACCCAGGCGCCCCTCCTTTTGAAGAACTCGCTGCTACTTCCTGAGCACCCGCCCATGCTGTGTCCAGCACTTAGCCTTGCAAGACATTCCCAAGACATTCATTTCCCAAGACATTCATTTTGTTGAGTAATCCATTTGAGTAAATGTGCAGCCATCGGCCAGAGACTATTTCCAATTTTATGTAATAGTATCCTTAATAAAAGTAATCTCTGAAATGCAAACATCATTATAACTTCCTAAGATCTTAAAGGTAAACAATTCACAAATCAGGGAGAAAATTATTTTTTGGGCCTGTGTGTCTTATTTTTAGCTTAGAAAGTATCATCAAACCGCTAAACAAAAGGAACTGATAAAGAGACCTTTTGAGAGACTAACCTTCTTCTTGCCTAAATGTTGGACAAATCTTGATCCAATAAATAATGGTTACTTCAGTTTGGGCAATTTCTCAGCACCTCAGTTCCTCTGTTAAAACATTAAAGTGGCAAGGTGATAGACTTTAATCTAGTCACTAACCCTGGATTTCGCTCCACAAGTGACCTGTGTGGCAACACTTTATCCCCATATGTACATTACGGAGGCAATTAAAGATCTTTTGCAAATATCAGGTTTCACATACCATTAATAGTGGGGTATATTTTACATTTCCTAGAGAACTGGAGTCCATGCCGATAAGCTTATCTGTGATCAGTTCTGGAACACAGCAAATTCAGACTAGTAGCCAAGCATGGAGTCCTCACACACATGGACAGATAGCGGCCAAGGGCAAATTCTCAGCTGTCCTCGTAGGGAGCGAGATAGCTCCCCTATGCCTCCCTCACTGTGCTTCCTTCCCTAACTCCCACATGGTTATTCAACCAACCTCTGTCTGTCTGATTCCAAAAGGCAGTATAATGGAAGGTTAAGGGTATAGATTCTGGAGCCAGGCTGCCTGGGCTTGAGTCTTGGCCCTGCTATTTACCATTTGTGTGATCTTGGGCAAGTTACTTAACCACTCTATATTTGGTCCTCTTCATGAAATGCAGATAACCACAGTGCCTGCCTCATGAGAATGAAGCTATTTAATGTGAATTGTTTAGAACAGTGCCTGATTGTATTAAGTACTATGGAAGCCTGAACTATTATTTCCTCATCAGCAAAAAAGAGAACACATACGTGGCCTATTCCTTGAGATTTTTGTAAGAATCAAAACTGATGGTAGACACAAACTTTGAAAATACTAAGTAACATTCGAAATTTGGGAGTTTGGGACGGGTGGGCCTATTATATTATAAAGTGACACATCTGGCTTATAAACTGCTCTGTGGGTGATAGAGCAAGGAGCCAAAGGGAGTTTCTCATACAGTGCCAGGGCCTGGCACTAGCAATGGGCAAAATGTCTCAAGAACTGGTTAAGCTCCATCAGCCACAATACCTTTGTCTACTTTATCCGTCTTTGCTGAGGCCAAATTCTGAAGCATTAAGATACAGAAATTAAGCATTCATCTATCGACGGGCACTTGGGTTGTTTTTCATATCTCGGCTACTGTAAATAATGCTGCAATACACATAGGGGTACATATTTCTTTTTGGATTAAGTGTTTTCACTTTCTTTGGGTAACTAGCAGTGAAATTACTGGGTCATATGGTAAGTTTTGGAGGAATTTAAGAAACAAAACAAACAAAGGAAAAAAGAGACAAACCAAAAAACAGACTCTTAAATATAGGGAACAAATTGGTGATTGCCAGAGGTAGGGTGGGTGTGGGGATCGGTGAAGTAGATAAAGGGGATTAAGAGTACATTTATCTTGATGAGCACTGAGAAATGCATAGAATTGTAAATTATATTGTGCACCTGAAATTAATATAACACTGTGTATTGATTATACTTGAATTAAAAATGAAAAGACACAGGAATTGATCTCGGTTCACTACCGACAGCCCTGCTCAGTGCAATGAAAAAAGGCTGGTTCAAGTTGAGGTTCATCCAGTTCCATCCCAGTCTGTCAAATGCATGAATGACCCATTCTTCTAAGCAGAAGCCGAAAGAGGAACTGTGATTCTCTAGAAATAAAACAGGACTCCCAAGAAGTGGCATGCTATCTGTACCTCATAATGCAGTCAAAACTGAACTGGCACAGCCAGTCTTTGTTTTCCACCCTCTCCCTGCCTAATGATTTAGGACATAAACCCAACAGTGGATTCTGGTCTCATCCATTCAGTGATGTGATAAGACCCAGATTCTGAAAGTTACTTTGGGGAGAAGTCATTTCCAGTTTTTCACTGTTACAAACAATGCTGTGATAATTGAACGTATCTTTTTAACATGTCCAAACCTATTAATATTTTTTATCATGCGTATGCACAAATGAGCAGTCAACTCCAGGTACCATGCTCACGTTTAAGAACCTCTGTTAAGGCCACTGCATTGGTGTTTGCCTTCTTTCACCACAGGAAGCCAACAAAGATTATGGGTATTCAAACTAGCAGGCAGGCAGAGAGCACAAATTCCAAAAGCGTGGAATTACTGTTATTTTAGGTTATTTACATTACTGTTATTTTAGAAATGTGATCTCCAGGAGGAGAAGTGCCTCCTGGTTTTCATTTTTCCATCTTTGTATTTTTGAACTCCCTTTGCACATAGTAGGCCCCTAATGAATGGCTGTTTGTCTGAACGGCAAGCCCTTCTCTGCCCTCTAGTCCTGGTCTGGTTCTGAGACCCCAGCGAGGCTGGATTAAAGAGGATGTGCAGGACTGTTAGGCAACTGGGTGGATTCGGGTTTGTGCTGGGCCTCTGGCACCAATCCAGGACCTCTGACGCCAAGAGGAAGCTGCCAGGACCTGCTGGAGTCCTGTCTCAGGGATGACCTAGGAGGACCAGGTCAGCACCCCAGGAAACTCCGGCTCTGAACACACTCTCGAGTACACGCTATTCCAGGCATTAATCCTTCTAGACAAGTCCTGAGATACCAAGAGATACCAGAAATGAAAATGTGCCCTGCTTAGTGACTGCCTGTTCGTGTTTGGCTTACAGGTGAGAGCAACCTTTGTTTCTATAAAAGAAGGATATTAAAAATTCCGTCAACTGCCTAAACAGGATTTACGTGAATTTAACTGGCTACTGTAGGACACAGAGAACCTTGCAGTGGCTTCTGTCATTAAGACAATGACCGTGAACAGAGAGCACAGGAGGTCAGGCAGGCTGGCTGAATGCAGCTGGGTAGTGGGGGTGGAGACGTGGGGGGGGGGGTGGGTGGTCAGTGAGCAAACTAGTGTCTCGGTGCACCTGGAACCTTCTGATGGACACACATCCTTCCCTCTCTCCAGAGGCATCATGGGGACTTGAGTGGGACAAGCTGGAATGCTGGTTTTACCTGGTACACTGTCCGGTCAATTAGTCAGGGGGCAAGAAAACTTTTCCTGAGCCAGAAAGCAGAGCTTCGAGACTCAGCTTTGTCACCTTGCTGGGTCTCAGTTTCTTCACCTGTAAATGATGGGATGGTACTGGATGACATGCCTTCCCCACTTCTCCGACGGGCAGTCAATCACTAAGAACTGACAATTACGCCTCCTGATTGTATTCAAAGCCAGACACCTTCTCTCCACCACACTGCATGGCCTCCATTCAGCCCCATCATTTCCCACCTGCATCGCTGCATCTCCTAACCGGTCTCACTACCTTCACTCTCCTCCCCTCTTCATGCTGGGCCAGTTGTTTTTCTGAAATTCAATTCTTGAATGTTTGACCCTCTAAGAGGCCCTGCCCAACTTTATCTGCCATAAGGCTCTACGGTGGGGTCTCTGTCTGCCCTGCAGCCTTATTTTCTCCCCCAGCGCTCTCCCCTGCTTCACATCCTCACGCACTCCGGGTACCCAACGCCGAGAGGTGGACCTCTCCCCCACCCGCGTATATGCTGTTGTGCCCTTGGATGGGCACTCACTCATAAACCGCCACTGGCCTGCAATGAAGCAGAAAATGATTGAATCACAGTGAATAAATGGGGAAGAAGAAAAATTAAGAGTAAGCGCTTGGAAACTTTTATAACTACCTGACAGCAATTTTATGTCTGTTGAATCTAATAATAAAAATCTGGGCTCCTATTTCATGTCTTTTTAAAATTTTATTTTTCTAGTAATTGACTTTTATTACGTTTTATAAAAATATCAGTCCTAAATGGGTTGAAAAGGGAAAAACACAACAACACTGGTTTACCACCACAGACAGTATGGGGAGCTCTGGCCAGCACCCTTCTACCTTCCATTCTCTTGGGCAGATGACTTCATCCTCGCCGAAGCTCTCTGTCTCAGGAGTCTTCTGCATCCCTTCCTAGACAAGCTTGGTGCCTCTCCTCCATGCACCAGTGGTATTTGGTGCATACTTCTAATTATAGCATTTATTGCGCCGACTGTAATTGTTGGTTTCCCTGCAGGTCCTTCCCATGCTTATTTCTGCTAACCTCAGAACAAGGTGCCTGGCCCAGGGCTGAGTGAGCAATTAAGTGTTGACTGAAATGAACAAGCCCTAAGTTTCTTACCCTATACTCTGGTTGCCTTTCCTTTACCCATATATTCCTTGTGTGTAAAATCCTTCCTGCCTGTGTTTTCTCCCTCTGATGCCTATTCCGTGTTCTCTACATTATGGAAGCTGAGGAGATGAGGAAGAAATGAGGAGAACTGCTTTCTGCATCTGGGGGTGAATTTCTGACACCACCCGTCGTCGGGTTGTCCCCTCTCTAGCTCTCAGTCTAGTCCTAAAGTTAATATAAGGAAGCTGGGCTTGTAGCTACAACAACTGGTGACTAATGTGTGTGCCTGGTGATTAAGCATCCTTACAACAGCACAGTATTATAACCAGACAAGACAAATCACCCCTGTACCTCTTGCATAAAATTAAAAGGTCAGTCCAGGAAGAGAAGGAATAATGAGATTCCTGAAGTCCTTCATCAAGTTGAAAAGCTCATTTGATTTTTTTTTTAAGTTTAATGGAAAACTCCAAAACCAGAAGGGATGGAATATTACATAGAAACTGCTTCAAAGCTCAATTTAAGCTCAAACCAAAGAACATGATTCCCATCATATGGAACTAATTTCTTTTTGAAAGTTGATAAACCAAAAATTGCACTGGAAAGCAGCCGGTTCCCTGCATTTTCCAGAGAAGGCAGTTTGGGAACACATTTCCTGAACCTCAGCCTCTTGGGTTCTACTCCTGGATTTTCCCCCTGACGCCATGGAAAAGTGCTTTCCTCTCCTCTCCTCCGCTGCAGAGTCCTTTTTAAAAAGGGTAACGTGATCACCTGCCCATTTACAGGATGTAGTGTATAAAATCATCCCAAGAGTTTCCCCAGGGCCTTTGATGCATGGAGTCAGGGAACCTAGGCTTGCTTATGGTTAGGAAAAAAGAAAACAAGCAAGCCCCAGAGATAGGACAAGTGATCGTTCTCCTATTGGAAAAGGAACTGTATTCCTCATTCAAATTAAGAAGCAGAGAATCAGGGGCGCCTGGGTGGCGCAGTGGGTTAAGCGTCCGACTTCAGCCAGGTCACGATCTCGCGGTCCGTGAGTTTGAGCCCCGCGTCAGGCTCTGGGCTGATGGCTCGGAGCCTGGAGCCTGTTTCCGATTCTGTGTCTCCCTCTCTCTCTGCCCCTCCCCCGTTCATGCTCTGTCTCTCTCTGTTCCAAAAATAAATAAACATTGAAAAAAAAATTAAAAAAAAAAAAAGCAGAGAATCAACTGATAAAGAAAATTATTAAAATTCAGGGTCTGAAAAAAAAAGACTTATTTTGAAAACACAACATTTTGATTGACTGATCTAGGTGATACACAAGCAATCGAGTTCCACCCCCTCAGATAAGTTCCAGTTTTGTTCTGAGTTTTATGACCATGCCAAACAGCGTTCTGTCTTGCCTGTAGAGCTTGAATCCCATCGACACAGGTGTGGGCTTGGAATTTTTGATCTGGGCTGACACATTCCTGGCCAGGAAAGTGGTGCTCTCTCTCCTCCTATAACTTTCCACTGATGTAAATGAGGTCAAAAGTGCCCGGAGGCAGCAATGACAGGCGTGTGTGGGCAGAGAATCACGGGCCAAGGCAGGGCACACGCTTTCTCTTCTGTAAGAAGCATTTATACCATCCTGTGGGCATGCGTGGGGAAGGCCGTAAGCTTTATAGTTTATGCCACAAGGAAGTCAAGACAGCCTCCAAGCCATTGTTCTGGGGATGCCTTTTCTTTCTCGTGTGGCTCAGGAGACACAAAGCTCCCTCTGCCCTGCCAGGCCTTCACAGTGTGGGACTCAGGGCCGTCTGAGAGGTTCTGCCTGTTCTGGCCTGGGAGCTGCCTCAGCAACTCCTGACTCCTGGCTGTCCGGAGCCAAATGTAACAGGGGTGAGGGCTGTCCGGAGCCAAATGTAACAGGTGAGTGGCCAGAGGTAGTGCCCTTTCCTAGGGACAGCAAATATGGTCTGCTCTCCCAGGAGCCCAAAGGGCAGCCTCTGGAGTGAGCATTCTGAAGGCTGCTATTTGCCCTGGATGATGCTCACCTGCCCAGCGCTGGCCCTCAGAAACAGAGCCGCAGGCTTGATAATTCTCTGTCTTAACCAAATGGAGACTGCTAACTATCCCATCTGCTGGGTCAAGGAAAACCCCTTGGATATGTGAAAAGGGGAAATTGAGGGATAGCATTGGTAGAGGCTCTACCTGAGTCATTAAAGCAAAGTAAGATGACAGTTCGCTGAGTGGGGACTATGCTTTCAGGTAAATTCCAAGGCAACTGAATACAATCCTACTCAAGTCTCTGACCACTCCTAAGGGTCTGCTTTGTGAGCTCCTCCTCCTCCTTCTCCTCCACTCTCCCTTAAAGGGTAGGCTGTTCCCTAAGGCTCTGTTCTTGGCCCTTGCTTAGCTTTCTTTCCAGAACCACTGCTAGACCAAATCGCACCTTAGCGCAAATTAGAAAAAGGCTCCCCTTTCCCTAGACATGTTACCACCAACTCCTAGAAAACTCATAGTCATTACACAAATCTTCAAGGACTCTGATGAAGTGGTCCGCTTAGAACTGTTCGGTGCACAGTCTGCCCAGTTGTACAGTTGTTCTGTGCAATTGAATCCCAGGGATTCAAATATCACCCTAAGACAGATGGCTCCCCAATTCAAATCTCTACCCTGACAGCTCTTTCCAGAGATCTAGACCTTCATGACAAATAAGAAAGTAACTGATTTGGGGGCATAGCTAACCTTCAAATGGCAAAAGATGAAACCTAGATTTTACCCAACTGTCATCCTCAGTGAAAAGCCTTAGAGTTCTTAGCTGGGAATCTGGAAAGCATCCTTAATGTCTACTCCTTGGGCTCCATAGCCCATTCATCAGTGTCCTCCAAGCTCTTCCTCCGCTGTATCACACTCCCTTCCTCTTCTCCCTCTTCTTCTCGCTATCCTGGCTTGCTTCAAGTCATGCCTATTTTTCCCCCCTCTTTAGTTTATTTATTTATTTTTATTAATCTTTACACCCAAGACGGGGCTTGAACTCCCGATCCCGAGATCCAGAGTCGAATGCTCTGAGCCAGGCAGGCACTGCACCATGCCTATTTCTTGCCTGACTTATTCCAAGTCCTCCTACCTGAGCTCCTGGTTTCCAGGTTTGTTCCTATGCACTCTGCTTAACTACAGTTATTTCCTGTTAGTCTCTTTCTCAAAAACCTCTGATGGCCTCTATTGACAGGCAAATAAAGGCCAAACTTCATGGCCTGGCACTCAAAGACTTCAATGTTCTCACACCGACCCACCTCAACTGCCACCTTTCCCTGCTCTGCAGTTCTGGTCACACGGATTCCTCATGATTCCTTAGCACAGGACACTTTTCTGCCTTCAGGCCTTCATTCCTATTGTTCCCTCTACCTGGCATGTAATTCTGTATTTTGTTGATAACGAAAACCTACGGCTTAGATACCATTTCTTCTCTAAAGCCTCTGCTGATCCTCTCGATTAGAATTCATAACTTCCTTTTCTGTACTCTCACTGCATTACATTTTACTTTGAGCAATAAGGGAACCATGTCTTAAACTGTCAATTTATAGATGCATTTGGAGCCCCCAGCAGACTCAATCCTTGAGGGCAAGGATTCTGTTTCATTTATCTTTTGGTCTTCAGAGCCAAATGTGGTACAAAGCAGATGTGCAGGTCACATTGAGTGAGTAACCCCATGGTGAAATCCTCATGGTCAAACAAAGCCCACGGACAATTTAATGACGGTCTACTTTGAGCCTGTGTGTCTGTTTCGATGCATCAGGCAAACAAGGACAGGTGAGTGTAGTATAGTATGTCAGGTAGAGGTGAAGGGCACTTTCCAAACCATAAAGTCCGTTTAAAACAAACACACATTTATAACTCACAGTCTGCATGAAATGTAATTCCTTGAAACCCACAAGTCTGGCAGGGGACATAGACTCGGCACCTTGAAGGAGGGTTGGCAGGATTTAGGGCTCATTCTGGAGACCCGTTCCAGTTCTGTCCAGCCCTCCAGACCCTGGACTGGCCCGGCCCCACCACCCAGGCCAATAAAGCCTTACAAGAAGCTAAACGCTTCTCAGAACAATGGTCACCTTGAGAAGGTGAGAACCTGGATGGGAATGAAGTGACAAGTGGGATGCTTACAAATCTAGTTAGGAGCATCTCTTGAGAAAATAACAACGTGAGAGTAGGTTCTGACTGAGAGCAATAATGTCTTCAGATTTCCACTCTTCATGAGACAGTTACAGATGAGAATCCAGCAGGGGAAGACCATTGATAATACAGCACCTTGCGTGCAGATAAACTCAACCGCATTACCAGCATTTTTTCATCTTTACCCTATATAATACTGAGTGTCCAAACCCACTGTTTTCTGAGACCAGATTCCTCAGTTTCTGGCAAAGAAATTACCAAGAGCACAAATTTACCAAGCGGGAAACTGAGGAGGGTTAGACAGACTTTGCTTTTCTGACACAGTGGAAAATGTGGGTGTATCACATACCACTGTTCTTTATATACTCTCCTGAAGAAGACTGACTAGCACATAAAAAAGGGAAGAACTTGAAAATCCAGCTGATCATACATTTTCCCAACCAT